TGTATCTTACTGTTTTTACTCGCGTGCTTTACATAATAATAAGTTGGTAAATGTATAGTTTTAGTCCATAAAAAAAGATATCCAATCCAACAAAAATATCTTTACAATACTTTTCATACCAGATCTTGGCTAAAAGATCGATTTCTCTTTTCTTGAGAACATAAGTGTTATGTTACATTCGAGAGGTGTGTCTATTCCATGGAAGCCCCTGGTCTTACAAACATACCACACGTACATCTGCATCCCTAGTCTAATAACATGTCGGACAACAGGTGGCTGTGTGTCTAATCAATGCTTGTCAGTGTGCGTGTGAGAGTCGGGGCAACAACACAACCCTGGTTGACAATGGACAGGTGATCGAAGCGATCAGCTGATGCGATGAGTTTCACCGCGTGATTGATTGCTATTCTGCAATCAGCTGATTTAACAACAATCGTCCCTGTCTCTGTCTGTTCTTCGCCGCCCGCTAGGTCGCGTCCCCGTCGCACTTGTTCTCTTTCTCCGTACCTCATTCTCCTCTCTCTGATCTTTATACATTTTCTCTTTCTTGTATTTAAATGTATAAAAATTGTTTTTCCTACAGCCACCAGACAAAGTCGGCTTCCATGTACCGGTTATAGTACATAAAGCTGCTAATTGCTGCATATTTATACTTTGTCGTACGGTTTATACTTTGGCGCACATCAGGATTCCAACGAAACAACACAAAACAGCGTGGTTCTATTATGCACGTAATCCGTGTACGCTTGGAAATAGGTTGGCAACACTTAAAGATAATAATATTATGAGCAGCTGATTGACTATTATAACTACTATTTAACCTGTCATTTCGTGTTTATAGTTTCGGTATTTCTAAGCTTTCTGGAATTTTCTTTTAAACGTTTTTAAAACATTCCTACGATCTTAATAAACAAGAAAATGCCTCTAAAGCATTTTTTTAGGCGCTGAACCACTTCAAATTACAAAAACACACGGAACTATTTTCTCAAGTCGTGGAGCACATTTCTTGCCGAGGAAAAAATAGCGGAGTGATACGGACCGGATACTACTTTCTCTAGGGCACCTATTGTGTTGCCAGCTGAACTTAAAAACGTGTTGAATAGTGTTTGAAAGACTAATTATTTATATGCTTTTTAGTGGCTGTAGGAAAAATATAATGTGTAACTCGAGTGCAAAAGGCCTTTGCTGCACTCGAGATCATTCCGTAAACATTGCTCTCGTGTGCAGCAAAGTGCCACTTATATGTTTTTAATCGATTATCCGGCATAAATTAAATTAAACGAGAGCTAGAGCCCCGTGTTTGAAAACTCGACCGAAAGTTTGTAGCGTGCTTTGTTGTGTGTTTGTAGTGTTGTTTTATTATAAATCTTTTTGGAAAATTGTATATTGGGAAATAATAAACTTTTTTTATGTTTAAATGTATTCTGGAATATCATTCGCCTTCCCATTTATGTTAGCCTATATATAGTATACTTATAGAAAATACAAACTGAATTTCGACATATTATTATTTCCATTATGATTGTGACAGAATTATTCACTTCAAAAATCATAATTTAAATTTTAATGTTACTCAAGTTTTTATTTCATAAAGTAGATTGAGTATTGTAGTAATAAGTTTCAGCACAAAATACAGTAGGTATTATGATTGTATAAGTCACAGAGTGTTTATAAATAAGTTTGATTTGATTAACACACTGAATTTAGGTAGACGGTATAACACTGAATGAACTCTCAGACTCATTATTACGACAGTTTCTCTCAGAACTATTATTACAAAGAAAACACCACTCTGGCGCAGTACAGTTCTGATTTTAGAGGGTAGATTTAAGTGCTGGCGCAGTGAGGGCCTTCTACCTAGACCCTCTGGCGCAGTAAGGGCGCCCCGGCGGTGACAGTAGTGCACCTCGATGGCTCATTCGTAACCTCTGCTTAACGAATTGTCAGCGTCTTTTTCTTGATTTAACGACCCCCTATCCCTCCCTTTTGAAACATCACAGCTCCTTTGATGAAAATGAAAAGGAAACAACGCCTGCGCCAACAATCGTCTGCTTAGTCTGCTGTGCGCTATGATACAACAGATTTCAGATACAACAGCTGGGAATCAAGGCTCTGGTTGGGCAACGAGTAGGCTTAAATATGGCGACTTGTTGAATTTGCGTATGAATTGAATAGAAACCTAATAAATGACAGAAGAACAAAGAAAAAGAATAACAAGATTGTTCTCGTTACATTTTTTAAAGAGTATTTTTACTATCTCTAAATATAATTTTACACTTTTTTAATACTTATCTATCAATTCCTATGTTGTGATACAGCCCCTACCGGTAGAATATCCGTCTATCATGAGCAGTAGCTTATAACACTTTCTAAGGTTTAATGTTTACGTTATTTATAGCAATTCAGTGTTTGGCTAGTTATTAGTTGAGTTTGAGTTACCTATAATTTTAAACGTTGCCGTTTGTACAACTGAACAAAAAAAATAATTTGAAATGTCATAATTGCACAATAAAAATGATTGTGTAATATTGAATTTCGTTTATAAAAATGCAAATCATGACGTTAATGGCTTTTTACAGAGTTTTTAATTTTGTTTGGTTTGTCATCTGTTATTATACTGTATGCGATTAACCACATTTTTCATTACCTCCCCCCATCCTACTAGCTCAGGTAATCGAGTATCTACACAATAGTGTAAAGTATTGTAGCCTATGCTACTTGATTGTATTTTAATGAGCTTTTATGTCAAAAAAGCGTTCTGTGCTGAGTCGCGGTGTAACTGGACGTGTATGTACCACGCGTTATCTTTATCTATCTCAGCAGTTGAGCTATTTCGTACCCTTCCTCTTAGATCTCACGTCTGTCCAATCTTGAATAGTAACTTCCTACACGAATCCTAAACTATCCTAAAATTCTATTTTAACTAATTGAATTCAATAGTATAACTATTGACGTCAGTTAATCCACTTTCTATCTGGCGACTTGTAAAATATTGTTGATTGTCGTCACGTTGAACCCTGTTGCAATCAACTTTAGCCACCACCCCCCCCCCCCCCCAAATTTCAATGACGCAGTGTGCGTCACAGCCCTCCCTCTTGTGGGCACCCTGAATAAAATAATTTTAAGACGTTGCTTAGCAATAACAGAAAATACTTCATTTGCTATGCATTCTTGACTGGGACGGGTGGCGTCGTCCTGTAATCCAGCTACTAGGGGGTCACGAACTGTGGATGCGATGCTCCCTAGTGTGAATTAACGTCCGCACTAGTGAGTACTAAGACTATCCGCAGTACTATCCTGATAATTAGACAAATTCGTAAATTTACAAAGAAAAATATGGTTCGGATTCCACTATAAACTGTAGGTCCCTTAGTTGCCATTAGCTGTATGGGCTATTTATTAACAGCTGTGTCTAAGGAACATGTCGGCCTTAGTCACTAACAAGACTACAAGATCGCGCCACTCATCCTACACTCATCTCCATTAAAAACATTACTTGGCTTAAAATACCTACTTTGTATGGTCACCATTTCATTGAAAAGTATTAAAATATTAAGAAATGAACCCCTATCCTGTTTCTTTACATTTTCTAACACTTCAACAAGGATATAGGGACCGACACTCATCCTTCACTCATATTTGGGTTAAAATACGCACACCTTAAATAATTGATATTGATAATTGATTGATATTGATATTGATTCTGGTCCAACAGGTGCGTTAGATAAGATGAAGGTATGATTTGAGACTCACCGTTTAAGTCAATATTGCTCAAACACGTTACATTATATATGGCAATGAAGCGGAATTTAAAGCTCTACAAGATTGACCAAGGATAAAATCTGCATTTCCTCAATAATAATGGCTAAAATCCAAAAATAGTGAGAACATCTCTAAATTTTTAACAACAATTTTATTTTAATTTGTTATTTTACTATTAAAATTATATAACTAATTTAATATGGGTTTTCCTTGTAGATAACATAATGACAAAGAATCTAAGACTAATTGGAATTTTCTAGATAGATTGGTTTGGGAAAAATACGTTTTTAAGTGGAACCTTGCAGTGTTTTATTGATTCTCCGCCATTTTACAAGATGGCGGATTTTGCTACAGTGGGAAAAATTGGGAATTTTCACAAAACGTTACGGAATGCATGCCTAACACATTCCAGTTGGTTTTGCTTTGTTATTGATATTGCCCAGATAGAAGTTTCAATGAATGTTCTAGAACCCAGATACTTCCACCAAAGTTAGTTTCCCTTTCCGGCAGCATGACGTCACCACTCGATCGTCGTTGATCCATCAGCTGATCAGCTCCAGCTGTCAGAGAAGCTATTGTAAACTAATAAACAAACATTCAATTCCATCTCATATTCATTTGGTAATAAGATATGTCTTAATGATTTGGTTTCATGATCGTTGTGTTATATTTACAAGTTTATTGTTTATAAAATCAAACAGTAATGGAACTTTATAACTGTTATTGTGTCCCTAAAATACGTACAATGAATAACCTAACCTAAATACTAGGGTAAGTGGATAGACCTATTCTTAGTTACCATTATTTACCAAACAAACTATTTAAAACCCTTTATCACATCAATAGTAAAAGCATAATATGTTATATTAAAGTACGTAATTACTTTCCGTATATTAAAGTATGAAAAAGTTAAATTAGGCATACTTTTATTACAATTAATCCATCAAACTTATAGCCCAATCCTAACATAGCCTATTATAACTGAGACTAAGTGGTAACAAATTAGTAGAACAAACAAAAAATGCTTTCTAACAAAATAAATAACTACGAGCTCTTGGCCTTCTATAAATTGAACGTTAAATACTCAAGAATAATGTTTTACTAGTGGCATGTAGGGACCCTATGTAAGTCCCTAAAAAGCTAGAATGGTTTGTTTGTTTAATCCAAATCGCTTCATTTTGACACTTGAAAGTTGTTCTGGAACGTGAAAACGGGAACTGAAAAAAATTGAGTAGTGAAATATTTTTTTTATTTAAATGCTTGTACCGTACGTTTCAGAAATTGGTCTTCCTAAGTATTGATAGTACCTTATTGGTATTTTTTTTACTTCTTTTGACATGGCCAATTGAATATTCCTCTCATATTATTCATCGGTGTTCCATTATACACTTCTGTCACCTGAAAATCAACGGTAAAATTAGTTAATGTGAAGCCACTAAAACATGGTATAATGACTGTTAATACATTTACCAATTAAACTCTGTGCACTTAATTAAAATGCCAAAAATACTTTTACATAGAATTTTAGGCTTTCTAACAAATGACTTTAAGTTCAAAAAGATTGAATAAAAATAACTGAAATATCATGATTTTATTTGTAAAATAAGTCATACCTAGCTTAGCCTAATTCTACTCCATTTTACAATTTTATTCGATCTTTTTGAACTGACGTCGTTTGAAATTTGTAATGCTCAATACAAGTTTCTTTATATATTTCTTTATAAAATCAGCCATAGTACTTTAAATGTATAAACTTAAAATAACCGCCATTTCAAAATGTAATTAAGGTTACCTTAACATGTCAAGCTTTATAAAGATCGTTTGAAACAATCTAAAGATAAAAAATGATTATGTAAAAACATACAAAATGGCAAAATGGAATGGATAAAGAAGCAATTTTGGAGAAGGTTTTGTTCTTGATCTACTCTTTACTTTGACTCTAGGAAACACTACAAAGATTATGTCCTCACCTTTTTTGAACACCCTGTATACATTGTAATCAAGTAAAATGACGAACAATATGCATCTGACAAAATATGGCTAAACGTTCATTTTAATGTGACAACAAAAACTAACTGTTTTGAAAAATGTTACAAATACCGAGCATACATAAACATATTGTGTTCTTTAGAGACACATTTTTTATATGTTTAAACTTGATTTTGTATGGAAAATATAATCAAAATTAGTTCAAATTTGTAATCTAAAAAACCAGTATTGAGATCTCAATAAGTGATGATCCACTAGATATTTTTACAATAAAAATAATGGTTTAGACCTACCTTTCCAGGTACTTCGCGATACATCATGGGGTAGCAAAGTGGCTTTCTTCGGTTCGGGCAGATGCTTTCCACATAATTCTCGCCGAGGACATCCACATTTACTGTGAGCCAGACGACATAAACGAATCGACTTAAATCATCGCGCTTAATCGAATCCTGGTAAACAACAACATACAACCTCAATACTCTAGTCAATTCTTGGTGGGAATTTTATAGCAAAAAATTAATTTTGATCATGAGTAAACAATAATTTATGAGGTCACAAGGTGTCCCATGAGTAAGTAACAAGAATTTTAGAATATAAGTAGTGTAGTGAGGGTGCATTTGGGACTATAGGTGTCTACCCCCCGCGAAGCTACCTTGTTTATTGTTTACAATCCTTGACCCCTGACCTCCAGTAATCAGCCGATAGCGCCAATCAAACATTATAAGTGTGGCATTTAAACTAGCCAATCTAAATAAGATGATTAGTCCACTGGGTGGACACTGGTCCACTCAGCTCCATTTCAGGTCCACTCTTGGTTTTTTAGTGGGATTGCAAAAAGCAAATTTCGTGTTATAGTTGATAAGTGATATTAACATCTTAAAGGGTATAAGAGAATAACTTAAAAAACAATATAATCGGTTTTATACATTTTATTATTCAAATTTACAATCAGGTGAAACCTTCTGGTGTTCTTCTGCAGGCTTGTCATCAAGACCCAAATGATCTAAGACAACACCACACTTGATGCATGAAACTGGATACAGTTTTAATCATATCTTCAATACTCGGATATAATTTTGGCCATATAATAAACTTTTCTGTCATTATATTTTCAGTATTTTCAATAGACTTTTTGTGGTTAAAATAGTTTATATAGTCATCTTCAGCATATTCACTCATTTTACACTTGGGATTTAATACTTTATGAAGAAAGTTCAAGTATCGTAATGATAATCTTTCACTGCCCGACTGCCAACCACACTCACAACATATTACTTGTTCATAACATTTTGTCCTGTAGAATCCTGATTTTACAAGATCCTCGTTCCGCACATTAAAAGTATCAATAGAAGATTTCTGGGGTGATGGTGGAGTTATAGATGTGACTAATGAGGCATCCATTGATGCTGGCTGGTGATTGAACCTTCTGTAAAACTCTTGGTCCACATCACTGATTGATTTCTTAAATTCCGTCCACTTGTCAACATCCAGCGAAACGCTCTCTCTCCCATTTGGTGTGTATACAATAATGATAATTTTTGTTTCCAATTGGTCATTTTTGAATTGAATTTTCATATGATTTGTTATAATAAATTCTTCGTGAAATTCCATATTTACTGCTATAGACATTTCCACACAGTCGGATATCAAAGTAGACTGAAACCATACAAGCTTGAAACATGACTTTTATACCAAAAATTCTGTCTAGCCAAACAAAATCCTCAATTGGTTTTCAACTATATCACTCTGGCTGTTAGTCACTTTTGAAACTTGGATTGGACGATTAACAACGTTTGGGCTAGCATCGCTAGATTGAGCTTTGTACCACCTGTCATCTCCAGTCGTCCAAGTAGATGATGACACGAACCCACTCTGTTGACGATTCATATCTCCAGCCATGCGTTCATAATTGCGTTGATGTGGTCTGGAAAAATCCAAAGTAAGGTTGGCTCTGTTGGCATTTGAAGAGCCAAGAGATGAATTTGGCCGTTCTTGATTAGGTCCAGACATTGTACTAGATCGATGGACACACTAAGACTGAATTCATTAGGTTGGATATATGACATAAAATACAAGGCAGTCTGTAGAAGTCATGCTGGCTCAGTGGTAACGTCTTAGCTTTGTAAATAGTGAGTGTTAGGGAAACTAAAAAAATCCCATTGAGGCAGCATGACTTCTTTTTGCCACACTTTTAAAACACTAATTATGAAAATCTAGTATTTCATCTAGTTCACTGTTTTACCAACAGATAGAGCGCGAATAGCTGTTAGCACACATCGACAGACTTGATCACGCGCGCAAAAGGAGATAAAGAAGTGTAAACAACAATGGCGGACGATGTAAACAGACGCGGCGACCCGCGGGTCGGGGAATACCCGATAACGGATAACGCCGGAATGCGATATCTTTTATCTAATTGTTTTTTAATTGGGGTCAATTGGGGTTAAATGTTTGATTGGCGCTATCGGCTGATTACTGGAGGTCAGGGGTCAAGGATTGTAAACAATAAACAAGGTATGGCTTTGCGGGGGGTAGACACCTATAGTCCCAAATGCACCCTCACTACACTACTAATATACGTAATGGGTCATAATAACAAAAATATAAGAGTAGCCTACCCTAAAAAATGCCTTGTTAGTGAGATATTCAACATTTCGTTTAAGTTTATGTGTGTTAAAAATGTATATCTTTAAATCTATTCAAGATATTTTCATGGAATTTGGTAATAAATCTAGTGTGGCACCTTTAAGGGAAAATATTTTCATAAAAAATATTGATTGATAACAAATGGTGGTGATTTCAGTTTTAAAACTTAAATTACCCAAAATAGCTAATTTCGGTATACCAATTTCACTTAGTTTACTGCTACACCAAATATCTTAAAGATAATATCTCGAATAGTTTTTAAGATATGAATTTGTATTTTAAAACACGAAAAATGGTGGGTATTTTACTTTTTACTAAACACGCGTAAAAAAGGGTACTTTATCTTCTGATTTGTGGATTCAATGGGCATCTATAGTGTGACCTAATTACTCAATTTGTTTGAGTAGAAACTTGCATTTATCTCTGTTCAACCTTAGTCCGTTCATTTTTATTCTTTGAGGTACCATTTCCAACCGAGTGAGCAACTCTTCTGATTTTCCTTGAATGATTATGTCATCGTAGAAGCATTGAGTGCCTTCTGTACCTGATAAGACTTGTCCATGATTCTTTGCCAAATTCGAGGATCTACTTTAACGCCGAATATGAGTCTATTAACTCTGAACTGTCCCTTATGTGTACGAATGGTGTTTTTGGCCTCTGGGGACATCAAAATGAAAAAGTAAATCGGTCCCGGGCCTAGGTCTTGCCATTAGACCTACGGTAATAGCTACTTCCCTATAGGGAAATTTGATAATACCAGACACAAAAGCTGCCTTTTATTTTCTAAACACAAATCTTCAACTTTTGAATCTTCTCCCTACTATTCTGGTGTTAATAACTTTCCTGACCCGATTAAATCTGCAGCTTCATTCGATTCTGTTATAAGATAAATGATCTTTTCTTTGATTCTTGTACAGTATTACTGAGATATTTAATTTATTATTATTATTGTATTGACACTATCTATGTATATTGTCTACAGAACGAGTAAAGGATAATTCGATAATATTGACGACTACTACTGTACTGTAATTTTAATATATTGTCGCATTAACAAGAAATTTAAAGTGTATACTGTAATAGTAAATTGAAATTACTATCAAATGCTTAGATGAATTGGAACCTATATACAACCGGAAATGTTCTTGATGTATTCCATCATTTTTAATCAAAGAAATCAATTTGCACAGCAGTATTTCGATCTAATCTTTTACAAATAATTATTTGTTTATGTAATTATGAAATGATCACAAATAATATATATTATTTATGATGAAAGTGATCTTAACAATTTAATTTTAACATTTCTGGTCTTTTAATCAAGGTAAGCTATTCCATCTATACTGCTCGCACCAAAAAAGGATCCCAACATTTTGGTTCAGTATAACGTTAAAATTTTAATTATTTTTTGAATTGTAACTTACCATTTTTTCTTCAAACATTTCTTGTGTCAGGCAAAAACCAACCTGCTTCTCATTCCGGATGAAAATAGTATTAATCTCTCTGCCTTTATAGGTTTCATGTCTCTTTTCATATTCATCCTAGTATCCACAAAAAAATATGTAAGTAAGGTAAATATTAAAGTCTGGTTTCTAGGAGTGTGAAGCTGCTATATTTGTGCATTTAGTTATACGTTATATTGTTGGCACTACATTAACCGGAGTAGATGTTTCTACATTCAAATTTACGCAAGATATTATTACATTTTACTCTTTGACCTTTTGTCGCTTCCCCATACACCATGTATACTGTGATTGAATTTGATGGTTTTAGCTTCAGTGGATGGATTATCCTGTCACACCCGAAACTCTAATACGAGCAAAATCTGTTTGTCTGTCTGTAATACATACATATATATACATCGATATGCAGCGGAAGGTTTTTGACTACATTTTGGAATTAGAGACTTATATCCCTAAAAAAAGACATGGAAAATAATATCCATAATATAATATATTTATATAATATATAAATAATAACTTATATCGCTAAAACCTGAATTTGTGACAGCCACTACCTCAGAAAAATTCATATTTCATTACACAGCTCATTTAAAATTTAAAAAAAATTAACATTGGCCGTATGGGTTGCCAAGTAACTATGTTGGTTGAACAAAATAACAAGTAAAAAGTAAACAAAAGACTTGTAGCATGTGTTTATAACAAGTCATTCACAGTATACTATAAAGATACTAGCAAATTATAAAATACAGTACTAAGTGATAAACATCAGTTGTAACTATTGAGTAAAGATATGATACACAGAAGATTATTCGATATAGGAAAAACTAGAGTAAGTCAGTGTTGATGAGTGATGAGTGTTTCGTGTTGGTGCCGTTTGAGTGCACTGGCGTCAACAATTTGACGACTAGATTTTAAAATTGTTTATACTCCTTTTATAGTTTACATAATTTGGACAGCTGTCATTCATAATAAATTGAAACTCCACTGGAACCTTAATAATAAAAACCAAAATTAGTTGAAAAAACGTGAGTTCCCTTTATATTGCTTTTACAATCAAAATAAACTATACCGTGCCATGGCTCGGTTCCCCGGTATTGAAGAAGGTTACAGACATATAAGACTGAAGGTTATATGTTTTAAAGGATTGTATAACATTTTATATGGAGAAACGTAATGGTTTTTGGTTATGTAGGTATGATAAAATCGTTTTAACCTCTTGCAGCTCAAGACTCGAGACGATTAACTAGCAAACACTTTGTCTTGTTGTTATCATAGTTCACTAGTTGAGGAAACCCTTAGATAAGTAATATCAATAATAGTAAGTAAGTATCTACTTACTTTGGTAGTAATGGTGACTTCTAGGACCTGTAAAATAAGTTTCAATCATTAGTAAAGGTAAAGGTGTGTTATACAGACAGTTCAATGCTCAGCTCAAAAGAACAACAGCAGTTGTTCTTAAGAGTCGGCAGGAGTCAAATTTGCTTTGTTGTTAACCGCCAGATACCAGGCTAAACAGCGGTTGTCTGATCAGCAAAAACATGCGCTCACGTTGAAGCATATTAATCATGCACCGTAAGCTTTATTACCGAGCAGAAAATGTTATGTGATTCTTAAATATATTTTGCGTGCAAATTGCTTTTTGTATTTTTAGAACTTTTGATTTAGAGGTTGAAGAAAATCACAGTTTAATTCAATATATTTATGTAGTTTGACAAAATAATAACAATTAAATTAAAAAGTAGTAAGCAAATCACATCTGTGGTTTCAATGGCTTTAAAATGAGATATTTTGCAACTTTCTATCCTAATAAACAATGCTGTAATATGCTTCAACCACTCGCATTGACGTTATGGGCAGAAAATTCATGATGGCCGGCGGTCCTGCCGACTCTTAATTGTTTCTACTGTAGGGGTTTTTCTCCAAGTGATTTTAAATACATAAAATATATATAGTAAATGTTGTTAGTAATTCATGTAAAAATCAAAGTATGGCTGTCAATCATAGTTTATTGTACTAATAAAGGATGTTCAAAAGGTTGTAAGTATTGTCTAATGTACAGTTAAAAAAATATTCATCGAGAAAAAAACTCTGGAAAATATTAGCTACAAAGGTTAGTAGAGTTCTGAAATAGAAACAAATCAAAGTGTGCTGGTGAGCAAGGAACAACAAAGTAAGGAAATCGCTCTAATAAGTCGTCTATTTACTCTCACTTCCTTTAATCAAATATCTCACAGCCAATTTGATGTTATTTCCGGTAAACGTCGCTTAAAAACTTAACACCACATGTTTCATGTTAGATAATACCATGTAATACCATACAGAAACCGATCTTCAAAGGGTTCAAACCATACATATAGAACAAAACGATTTATAACGGGCCGGAGCTCGTTTGACTGTTACTTATTCAAACTCGGTCCAGAAAATATGTAACAAACCAAATTCAATTTGTCAATAAATTGAAGCACATGTTGACATTTTGGGATTTTACTTTGACAAATCGGCGAGGCGATTCAGCCAGTAAGGGGTTTGGTTTTAGCATAACTATTCACAAATGTTATAAACTCTTTATTTAAACAGATTTAAAAGACAAAATTTTCTCTTGTGTTCTTTTTGCGAAGCACGGGTTCAGCTATAGTTAAACATAATTCAGAAATTACAAGAAGTAACACGAAAACAAATTCTTGGTCTAAATTGTCTGCAAGATTGATGGTTTTAATTGAATACGAGACTGGAAAAAAAATTGTAGTTTAATGTACAAACCATGTGCTCATTCAGTAAAGGCGGATGCAGGCTAGTAAAAATTGCTTGGGTGAAAACTAATTTAAATTGCAAGGGAGTGATTTATCTTAAGCAGCTTTAAAAAAAATCTAGGTTTCATTATAGCCCTTGTCAAATAGAGCAAGTTTACGTACTTGAGTGTTTGAAAAACCATGTGCATCTCTATCAATGAATTTTGATGCAGTTCTATTTTTTTTTCATTACAGTAGACCAATTATAGTAGACCAGAAAGTAGGCTCACCTTATCTTTCAGGTCCAACCAAAGTTCATCGACAGGGTTGACAAATTCGTTATCAAAATAACGAGCAGGGAAATCGTTGTAGTGCACAATGAAGAAAAGGCCATTTTGAACGTTGTACTTTGCAAAATCCGTCGCAGCTGCAAGCTGAAAATCCATTATACATCTTTATTTAGATCCAGAGATCCTTAGCGATGGAGGGTGGAAAGCAGTGATACTTTTGCTACTTGCTGAAACGTAAGTAAGCACAACCTAAGGATGCCCTTACGACCGACACGTCTCCGAATTTTCTGAAATTTTCAGTAAACGACATTGAAATACTCATTTGTAACACTTTTTACAGGTGTGACTACCAGCCAAAATCCCGGACGCTGTAGTAAACTTTATTGAAGAGCAGTCTTCACTGCCCTCTTAAAAGTCTGGTGATAATGCTCGGTCTTAAACACTCGTAGCTTTTAGCTTTGTAGCATTGTACTAAGTATGATGTTGAAAAATGAAGTGGAGTGTTTGGGGACGGGAATGGTGTTAGTGTGTTGGAGAGTACTTATGTCAAGAAGAAACATCAAACATTTCTAGATTTTTGTTCACAAACGACAGCGTCTCCAACTCGTCCAAAGAAGGAAAGGTCAACATTTTTAAATGTATAAAGATTTCTCTAGAAGATTATTTTTTTTGAGGGAGAAGATTACTCTTAGTGCCTCCTTTTGGAGATGAACCCATAGCAGAGTCCTTTGGTTTTCACTTCCCCTGACAGATACAGCTTATGATAGATATGGGAATGCTATAACATAGTATACCGACAGAAGCACCCACCTTTGTTTCACCTTTGACTTGACTTTCACTTTCACTTTTCACTTTTTTTTGTTAGACCTTTGTTTCTGAGTTCGAAGAGCAAAAACCCCAGTGAAGACTTTACGGGGGAATTTCAGTGTGATGGTGAAATTTCATATTTTTGTCAAGGATCAAACCTTAACTTAAAGTTTTGGGATGAGGACACAGCCTAGTTTTTATTTCTAGAAGAACATAAAGGCCACAGCTGTTTGCTGACGGTGACCTATTAGACACGTGAAAGCTCAACATTTGAGTTTTCTCTGCATTTAAAACCAGCTGATTGATAAACAATTGTAGAAGACTGTTCGATTCGAGGAATGCCATTAGCTCCTGTGCCGTGAGCATCACCGATATTAAAGCAGCACTTGCACCGAGCATATATATATATATATATATATACTCGGCTAGCAAGCAGAACGTACTGGCAGAAATCACTCACTCTGACCCAGTGCCAAACCCAACAGAATGACAGCGAAATGTCTAAAAACATCTCTCGTCCCCTCTCAGTTCTCAGCCGTGTAAGATCGACAATCCGGACGACTTCCGTCCACATAATTAAGTCGATAAGTATTAAAATATAAGTAGTAATTATAAAGTTGTCAGAATTAGCAACATGATATGATATAGTTAATTAATTTTTAGTTAGGGGTTGCCGGTGAGAAACCAGTGATTTAGGATGTATTTTTACAACTTAATATGTCGGTTTCTCCTTAAGAGGAACCGGCATTCAGCTTGTTGAAACAGAGTCACAAATTCACATGGTTGAACAATTATTCTCTTCTGTCAATCCGAGTAATTTATTACTAAATTACATTAATTCAATCAATGTTTCATATTCCACAGTTAGTTCGTGATTTTTTTTAGTTCATGTCAACGCAATTCTTAAGTTTTCAGGTAGTGGTTTAGTTATAAGGTTTCCATATTATAAATTAGTTAATCACAACTCATCAAAAGCTGGCTTACGGTGTTTACGGCAATGGGCATGATCAACCTCAGGGTAAAACCTTTCCTGTAAAATAGACAATTACAACCCTTCCTAAATCCTCAATCATACAATTATTTCATTAAATATTTCCATGTCTTAACCCTCATCTATCCACCCAACCTATCCATTATTCCACAGACACACCCCACTAGTTTCAATCAGTAACAACCAGTCACAAATTCCCATCAATCGTTTCAAACTGGTAGAAATCGCTACAAATTGGTAGCAGAGCGTGGTTTTCGGTGATTTTGGTTGATTTTTGAAAGTTCGGGATCTTCGTGCTGATGTGCGGCTATTTCCTTGAAAATTTCCGGAATGCCAAAAAGTGACAAGTTACTGGTGGAGGGAATTCCTTAGGGGCTTCGGCGGTGTCGGAGTTTTCAAAATAGTGAAAAAAATTAACAAAGTGTGACACAGGACTGTTGGAAAAACATTTTGTCTCAGGTAACCATCCCCATCAACATTAGATATGTAACCAAACTGCTACCTTCCCGCCAAATAGGAAGCAAAACTCGCATGATGCTTAAGTCGCAAATTTTTGTCATCTTGTCAAAAGTAGGTAAAAAAGCCTAGGTAAAAAATATGCCTGTTACATACTGACTGCTGTCTAAGTCTTTCACTATCTTGTTTTTTTAAAGAGGGTCAGGCTTATAAGTACACCATGGGATTGTATCACAGCTGAAACAGCTTATTGTGCACCCTTATTCACAGGTCCTCATTCTCCGTAAAATCCCAGGTTCTTAGTGAACCATGAGAACCTTTTGACTATGGTTTCCTGTTCTTCCCTTTGATATACTACAGTATATAGGCAAAGGGAACTCACACGCATACCTCGTACGGCTGGGCACATTAATATCTCGTGGAAGGCTGTCTCCTCCTCCTCTCCACATTTTCTACATAAGAGACTTTCAACTTGAATTCCAATCTTGTGTAGATGTCCGCGGAATACCCAGTAGCCGCTGATGAAGCCAACCACTTTCCACAGGGACAGGGTCTTCCTATTCAGCCCAAGGGCATCTGCTGCTATCGCACCGGTAGGTGTCTGCAGTATTCTCTTTGACTGTGTACATCTGCCTTCTGTTCTTTCCCAGCTCCTTCGATGTTCTTTGCCCATTTAATGGTGAACAGCTCTCCGTGCTGTGTTGTAAGCAATACCACACATCGGCTCTGGACCCACGAGCGGGTTTTCAGCTCCTTTATTTTCCCACTTGTCAGCAACTCATTGCCAGCAATTCCTTTGTGCCCTGGAACCCAACTAAATATAACATGGTTTTTCTCACCTGATGACATTCCTTTCATGGCCTGATGACAGTCCCATACTGCCTTAGAGTTAAATTCTAAACTTTCAAGTGCCATTAGCGCTGCTTTGCTGTCTGAGTTCATGTGGCCATTCTGACCACGCTCCAAACACACTCTGGCACACTCGGACAGGGCAGCAACTTCATCCTGGAATACAGTAGCCAGTTTCCCCAGGCTTACGCATATCTGCGCATTGGGTCTGACTCCATATATTACCGCCCCAGTGCCTGTTGGCTTTTTTGAGCCCTCCATATACCAAGTGATCCTTATTTTCACGTATTTAGGTAACCATTTTGTTTACTAAGCTAAGGATGGCCCTTCTAGTTCATTCATTTCTTAAATCCATGTTGGTTGGGGAAAAGTAGTTGTTTTCATGTGTTTTAAGGAAGTCAGAGAGTCAATCCAAAACAACTTATTCGAAAATTTTGGACATTGTCGAAAGCAGGCTGATAGATATCGCGAAGTGTTTCATCTTCTTTCTTAAAAACCGGGATAACCACTGCCACTTTCTGGGTTGATGGAAATATTCCCTCAACAAAGAAGTGCTTTAATAGGTAGCACAACGGTCTAGCTACGTATTCGCCAATAATCTTCAGGAGACATTTTATAAATTCCTGCTGACGTTTTACTTTTCATTGAGTTTATAATGCTTTAAATTTAACTTTCTGTGACGGGAACAAGAGCCAATTATTGATATTTGTGTCTGTCACTTTTTATTGCATCACTTTTTACTTCTGTGACTGTGCACAAGACAACTTTGGGTTTACCATGGATGATTTTCCTATGAGTGAGGATCGGAGGGTGGTTTAAGTGGTAGTGTGACAACAGGTTGAATTTGATCTGGTCCGGCCTGGGTCCGCAGGGGCAGCCATGCGGACAATTTCGGGGGTGCGACAGTAGGACAGAGGGAAATCTCCCTCGCCGGGTCGGTTTCTTCCTACCTACACACACAGGCAAAAGAACGGGCCACCTAGTGGAATCGTTCATCGAATTGCTGCGTCATGTTTTCGAAGAGATATAACTTAACTGTGCGGCATACTTTTTCAGATCAAGACAGGAATGTCAATTATCAATGATATCAAATATTTGAGATGGGGACGCCACTATGTGCGTATTTTAACCCAAATATGAGTGAAGGATCAGTAGGATGAGTGGCGCGATCTTATAGTCTTGTTAGTGACTAATTCCGATATATTCCTTAGACATAGCTGTTAATTAATAGCCCATACAGCTAATGGCAACTAAGGGACCTACAGTTTATAGTGGAATCCGAACCACATTTTTGCTTTGGTATTAACAAATTGGTCTAATTATCAGGATAGTACAGGATAGTCATAGTACTCACTCGTGCGGAAGTTTATCCACTCCAGGGAGTATCACATCCACAGTGCATGCCTATAAATATCCACAATTCCTAGCCTAACCTAACTTCAGACCTTAACTATACTATTTACTAATTATTATTTTAATAAAGACAGGTGTGTAATAAAAACAAGTGCTGACAAATTAATACGAAGTAAATATATCCGTGAACGATTCCATGAAACCACTTGAGTCCGGGGAAGGGAGATCGGACTTAGGAAGGGAGAACGGTTAAATTCCACTCAGTCCTACTGTCGAAAATGCCGCATTACTGCCACAGGGGGCCCAGGCTGGCCCAGGTCAGATTCAGCCCTTATCATTTCGCTTTACCGGTTTAAGCTACGGTTTGCTTTTGAATTAGTGAAGGTTGGGAGTGGACTGAAGTATGACGTCACTGTAAATGGGATTTCTAGAGTAGCAATATGAATCAAGTCACCTGTTTTAATAAATTGTTTTAGTTTATTTCTCATTTGTTTCTCTACATCTAATCACCACTTGTTTTTTAAATGTGAAAATAGCTTTTCCTAATTTACATTGTCATTACGTACACAATGACTGGTAGTCTTGCCTAGGTCTCTCACATTTCCTCTAAAACTAGGCTTAGTTGTGTTTGGCCTAACATTTGACAAACTTCAAATCAAACATTGAACTTTAATGAGTTCGGACACTTAGCAAAACTAAACTAAGATCACTTTTGCGTTGACGAGGACGTTTATATTTCAAGCCACAAAGTGAAAGAGACATCTAAAATTCAAAGAATACAAATAAATCCTTACATATTGCAGAACAAGCAGATTACGTACCTGATGAGCGTACCAATCTCCTTTATCTTTAACGAAAACCGCAAGTGTGAAATCCTTGTATGTTTCATGTCTTGCTTCATAAGCGCTCTGAAACATAATTGTAAAATGATTTCATTATTGAAATTTCAACTAAATTACATTCATAGTTTTCGCAAATCTTTTTTTGGAACATTTAATTAATTTCTATATGCCCACCATTGAGTGTTCTGCAGACAATCCATGGTCAATTTCAGCTCATTCGCTGTGCAACATGAATCTGGTTACCGATGATATTGCTTAATAAATCTATATCACGAATCTTCATAGAGCAAACGATGTTTTTATCGTATCCCCATAAAAAAATAATCAGAAATCTGGTCTTCTATAGATTGTCTTACTTTTTCAATTGTTACCGCTGATACAGGCAGTCTCCCTAAAGCCTTCCGTTGTTGTGCTGATCCCGTTTCTACGAACCGCTTACTCAAACGTATGATGTTATTTTTGTGAGGAGCAGTTTTGATAAATTATCTAAAAGTTCATTTCAATACAACTGACTTAAGCTGACTTTAATTCACATAATAATACCACGCACTTTTCTTTCTCTTGATCAGGAAACATGGTTTTAAATCCAAATTAAATATTTTAAGTAGCCGCAAACGTCAACAACAATGAAACATCTGTTTTCCAAGACAGAGTAACAAAATTATTTGAAAAAATTTCAATGATACCAACCTCATTTTCCCACCTCACCTGGTTAGTTTTATATAACCATTCGAAACTATACCGTTCACTTTGGAAAGTACTGTAATTCTGTTTCCTTTGTTATTTAATAACTAGCTGAACCCGGCAGACGTTGTCTTGCCTTTGACTATTTATAATCCCGCGGGCTTTGCCCCGTTTAACTCCTTAATTTTCAAGATGATCTCGTTCGCATGGCTCAATCACATCCTGGTTGAAGTTCTCCAAAGTTTTAGTAACCAAAGAGTTGTCTAATACTCACTTTTCCACTCGCAGTCTCCTGTGACATCTGAAAATAAACATTATAACATAAATAAGAAACAAAGGAATGAGTCCATCAACTCATCAGGCCCATTGCCACGAAGGGCAACGCAATGTTAACAGTTGATGTCGACTTGTACACATTTTCGCCAAAGCACTGTAAATTACTTCAATAAAAAGCTGAAGCAATTACTTTCAAATTTTGCATGGCGATAAAGACCTTATTGGTGAGTGCCATCATCTTTATTTCTTTAAAAAGTTCTCCCAGAAATCCGCCCAACGGGGTCACAAACTGTTAACGTTATCCCTATAGATGCAGTGCTTGACACCTAAACTAAGCGTAAGATCAGCTGTTGTCTAAATTTAGTACTTTAGGTGAATAATCTACAGAATATAAATATTCAACTCACTATCGCAGTTCTTATTCCACCGGTGTATTCCTGAAAAAGATTATGTTAAATTAAGCCCATTTCATTCAATGTTTACAAAAACACTTGTATCTGTGATGGAGTAACTTGTCCAACCCACTTGTTGTGTACTTGTAACTTGTATAATGTCTTTAAATATACAGGGGGTTTTCAAATTGCCTGGCCATGTTTTGTGGACTTGTTTCTTTGGGCTAAGACAAACATAAAATGCCATATAATAAGTATAGATCTAAAATGCATATATTTCTGTCTGTCGGTCTGTTTGTGATTTGTTTAACTATTAGATATCTTGGGCATTTTTTAAGATATACATTTTTAAATTGATATAAATGTGTACTTTAAAAGGTAAAAACAATATATTTAGATTAAGATTGAAAAATTTCGTTTCAAAATATCTAAGCCATTTAAATATGGCGGCCATTTAAAATCTTTTATGTCAAATTTCATGAAAACCATAAATATTAAGAACATTGTTTTCACAATCAAAAAGATATAAAATTTAAATCCAAATCAAATGAGACCTTGTTTGTTAAAATCGGATGACAACCAACAGAGTTATCAGGTTCTTTCTACATTCGGTTACGCAATTTAAAAGGACTACCATACTGCTTAATCAGTAAACTTCAATATTCTATATTAGATTCTCTTTGCTCTTTGTTTTACTTACAACTCTTTTCCCAGCAACATGTGCTGTAATTCTATTTATTTATTTTATTGTTATATCATATTTCAAAATGTAAAAAAAAAAAACAGTATCTTGTTCTCTTACTACTATTAAAGTGTGTTAATTTTTTCTCTCTCTCATTTTCATCAATATTTCCAATATTTATCAACATTACCCTCTGGTCCTACGAATATTTCTGATTACCCTTTCTCATTTATTCTCTCTATCTCAATTATTCTCTTTTCCTATCATTCTTTAAATAATATTTTATTTCCATACTAACAGCATTCTTTTCTGAATCATTCACTGCTCTTAAGATAGTTCCAATTAAATTACGTAACCGAATGTGGAAACAAACTGATAACTCTGTTGTTTGTCATCCGATTTTATTAAACAAGATCTCATTTTATTTGAATTTAAATTCTTTATCTTTTTTATTAGAATATAATTTCTATAATATATATGGTTTTCAATAAATTTGGTATTAAAGATTTTAAATGGTCGCCATATTGAAATGGCTTAAGATATTAGTACGAAGTTTTAAATCTCTTTTTACCTACTAAACTACACATTTACACCAATTTTGAAATTTCTATCTTAAAAAATGCACACGATAGTTAAAAAAAATAACAAACGAACGGTTAGAAATCTAGGCATTTTAGACTTATACTTACTTATGAGGCATTTTAGACTTATACTTATTTATGAGGCATTTTAGACTTATACCACAGCCACCTCTAATACAAGGCCGCGACGTTCGAACTGGCAACGCCGCAATCACACCCCCTCTGCGTCCGTCTTCACACGCGCTAGACTATATCTATAAATGAGAGTATTGCTGTTTTCGTTGCTCTATAGAACGAAAGAAAGATCTATCATTTCAGCCTCTGGATTGCTTATATAATCAAATAAATAAATAGTAAAGTCTTACCTTAGCAATCCTTGTTATGGTGGTCCGATATTAATTTCAAACCCGTAGGTTCATCATCAGTCGGAAGTTTAGGTAGACCAAATTTTTGTTATAAAATCCACCCGATGGGTTTCGTAGAAATGTTGACATTTAACACAAAGACACACATTACAGTTGACATAAATAATATACGTAGTTTAGGGATAAAAACCATGGTTTTATAAAACAGTGGGATAACCTCACTTCAGTCAGGGAACACGCTGCCGGCAGAACTGTCAGAACTGCACCCAGGCACAACACATCTATCTGGCATGATTCACTAGCAAGTTCAATGCCATAACTTAACGATTAAGGGTAGTAGAACGTGAATAAGTGTGTCGGTACGCGACTCCTCCATTTACTGTAATGGTAAGACGGCCGCGCGTCAAGACACCAATGCGACGTTGCCACGTTTCGCTCGCCGCGGCCTTGTATTAGAGGTGGCTGTGCTTATACTTATTAGGCATTTTATGTTTGTCTTCGCCATAGGAACAAGTTTAAAAAATTTGTCCAAATAATTTGGAAACATCCTGTATAAAAAAAATAATATTAGCTTATTATAGAAGACTAGAAAACCTTGGAGGCTCAATGAGCCGCATAACAAGACACATCGTTGAAGAAAACTTGGTGATACAAACATATATTATGTTCGGTCGCACCGCTCCTGTCGCCCAGCTAGGACGGGGCCTAAAGACTAGAGAATGTAAGGATTAGACATTAAACTCATCTTCACAGAGCCTCTGTTTAGACTCATATTCACAGAGCCTCTGTTTAGACTCATCTTCACAGAGCCTCTGTTTAGACTCATCTTCACAGAGCCTCTGTTTAGACTCATATTCACAGAGCCTCTGTTTAGACTCATCTTCACAGAGCCTCTGTTTAGACTCATCTGCAATGCTTCCCTGTTACAGGTATCAATTTCTTCAACTCGCTACCAGATCAAGTGAAATCCTTTCCAAATTCCAAATTTAAAATTATTCTGAAGAAGTGGCTATTGGCAAACCCTTTATATAAAAATAGAAGATTTTTATGTTGCAATGAAGCATGGCCCACTTATTGTACCTTAGAATATGAATCTGGAAGGTATACTATTTATTTGCTTGCTTGTGCACCTGCATGGTTTTGCTGATTTATTTTTTAGTCTTTAGTTTTTATTGCAGCTTTATGTACTGTTTATTTTGTCTTTTTTTGACAATGCCTATTGTATTTATTGTATAACGAATGGCTAATTAAATCATTTATTCATTTATTTACAGAGCCTCTGTTTAGACTCATCTTCACAGAGCCTCTGTTTAGACTCATATTCACAGAGCCTCTGTATTTAAAGAGGCGTGTAGACTAAAGACTAGAAAATGAAAGGATTAGACTCACCAATATTATTCGTTGTATGGTGCGTGTCTGAAAAAGATTAAAAAAAATATATATTTTTTTTATTTCATGTAGCAATTTTAGAGCAATTCAAAACATATTATCTATGAATTGTTACTTAATTATAATTGTATATTAGTACAAGCTTTAATTACACATTTATTAAAACCACTGATGACAGTTGGTGCCACCTTGGCAGTAAGGCCAGACAGTGGTGTACCTTGTTTGTTCGTAAAGTAAAAATGCATAAATACACATGACTTTACAATTTTTTAAATGTTTGGATTTAACTTTTTCACTTTGCATATAAAATGAGGAAATTACAAAATATTTTTTTAATTACATATTTTATACACTTCGGTATAATCCATCCCAAGACAATACAAAGTGTCACCATATCCCCTTAATAAGTTCATGATGGTATTAGTAGTTTCAATTTGTAGTGCACAGACTTTAAAATTAACTGAATAAAATAATTACACTGGTTTAAAAGTATTTCATCGAGCAATTGACTCTTGCTACGGTCTTTTTGCTGTCTTTAAATAAAATTAAAATTTAGCTCTAATTATTTGTCTTCCAATAAGTTAAGCTAACTCATTTTTTATTTCTGTCCCTGGATTATGTCTGTCCCTTATAAGTGATTTACGGAGTATTGTTGTTCGATTGGCAATGACCTTCTAACTTTATCGGCCCCCACACGCTGCCTCTCACTAATATACTTCAACACAGTAGTCGTATGTTGGAGTCTGGAATATCATACACCACAGGCTGTTACATACACGGAGTCCACTGAAGTACCTCTCTTCACATAGCCCTACCGTGATCCGCTCCGGCTGACCGACATAACACAATATATTGACTTGATACACATACGTCTCTTCATATGATCCGCTACTCTTCTACTTAATCAACACACTTCTCTCACTGAGTCAATACTAATTTTATTTTATTTTATTTTATTTCAACGGACATTCTATTTTGTTTGATGTGGTGCTATTTGTTTCCAAACTTATCTATATCAATATAATAGTAGTGCAATGTACGATTCAAGATGGCTAATATTAAATAACAACTACAGTATAACATTTGACACTTAGACATAGGCAACAAAAACAAATAACAATAATCTAGTAATAAACAACAATAACCAATATTGATAATGGGTGTTATCAAGCTGTACTCCGACTTTACTAAACACTTCTACATACGGAGCCGAAAGAAATTGTAACAGTCATACAAACAGATATTATTTTCTCAAGGCCAATAGTTAGTTGTTTTGGCTGGCCACCGGACAACTTAATCCTTATCTATTGTTGGAAGCGCGCTCCAACCTTTATCAGCTGGACCTTGACTCATACCTGTCTGGGATTGTTTCAATACCCTATTGATTTCTCTGTCCACGTACTTGGTTAGAAGGAAGTTGACCACAGAAGAATGTACTACACTTCAATAACCCATCCTTCTTCGAGCAACGGATTTTAGGAGGCATGGTAAGCTGTGTGATGGATTATTAGTTAATTTTATAGTAAACCTAGTTTTTCAAAATTATTTCCTCTTTTAACAGAAATGAATAAATACAAATTTTATCCTTCACTTTTATTCAAATGGTCAAGAACAGCTTATCAACATTCATGAATAGTAGCTAGTAATTTTGTCATGGAAAATAATTATTGTTTGTAGGATTAAATTTCCCTTTGCAAAATATTTTAAAAATCATATCTTAAATTGATTTTATAGATTGGTTAAAGGTAAAATTGTGTAGATTTTCTTTATTGTCTGAATTTAACTGTGTTAGTTCATGTTGGAACAGTGACCCTAAAATTTGTGTTAAAACTTGTTCAGCTACCATGTGACTACTAAATTTAACTCTGTCTGATTTTTAACTTTGAAGTAAAATTGTAAAATATTATTTGTTGAGATAATATAAAGTCAACCAGATGTTTCATTGTCATTGATAATTAATTATTGAATTTTGTGTAAAGCTCAACTTTATATCAGTACTGCCTATTTGACTAAACAATTTCAATTTGGGAAAATATACCTTGGCTAGGCTTTGTCAGACAAATTTTATCATGAGTAAGTTGCCAAAAAGAGTATATTTTGATCTAAAAAAAAGAAATATTTAGTGTTGAGTAGAAATCAGATGTGCAAATCAGTGTATTTTATGTTAAATTCAAAACCGTGTTATTTTTCAACTACAGTATGTCCTGAAAGATTGTAAAATATTGTGTGAGATTTATTGTACAAATATTAATGTAGAATGTTGATTATTCTGAGATCAGTAACCATTTTGAGTTATGGAAGAAAAAGTATAAACATTGATTGATTACACTGTATTTATGTAAATTTATGTATAACATATTTTGGGACGAATTCTAGTATGTATTGGAATATTCAGGGTTTCCGGTCTTGGTTGCCACATCTGTGTCATCGCCCAACACCCTGCCCCACTAAGACTGTCTGTGGTCCAACTGCGGCTCAACTCCACCAGGGATGCTGCGACTGGTAGTTCAGACCTAACGTTAGCTACGGATCTGCCCACCAACAAAATTGTCAGCTGAGTGCTAGTTATTAAGCTTTGCTGAGAACTTTGAGAACTAACACTTGAGAAGTTAACTGAGATTATTATTTACTTAAGCAGAAGGAAGTGTTACATACTCTGGATTATCAACAGATATTTCTCTCTGAATTAATTTGATTGAATTTTGAGAGCCATTTGGAATCAATTAATGAGAGTCAATTTAGCCTATGAGAGTTGAGAGTAAATTTTGATTAAATCTTCGGCAGTGGGACTTAAATGAATTTAGCGGAATATTTTTTTATTCAGAACTTTTGAACTGACTAGGACTTTTGTGTTGTGAGTGAAGGATCAAGCTAGCGGACAACTGGGTAGATTTAAGATTATTATAAGTGTTTTGTCTAGGTGTCATCTGTCTATTTTTGTATTTATTTTATGTGTAAAAAGAGATATAACATTTCAAAGTAACTTTGTGTTCTGCTGAGTTTGGAATAATAAAAAAAATAAATAAAAAGGAAGGAAAATTGTATGCACTCTTAAACTGCATTTTGTCACGTAGGCCAAGTATTTTAATTTATTTATTTTTATATTAAATATTATCAAAGTACCCTTCACCGATAACACTTACCTGTATAAACTCGAATAAGTCAAATTGAAGCACCTCTGGCTGGAAAACAAAGAATTAATAAGATAATTATTTACTTCGATATCTTAAATAAGTGTAAAAGTTTAAGCTGGTAAAAAACTCTTTTAAATTCAGGCATAGAAAATCGTAGATTTCTAAATTAAAAAAATGAATTTCATTAGGAATTGATTATAAGCATTTCCATTGTCTGATCTAATTTAATCATATGATGAATATAATTTGTATTGAAGTTTCAAAGATTTTCCAGCATGACAAATGTTTATTTGTGTACAGCATTTTGAAATTGATATGTTAAAAACTAACCTAACCTTACTAACCAAACTTGGTGTAACATTTACAAAATTTTGTTTGATAACAGAAAAGGCATGTGGGAAATATCAAACGGAATTTTGAAAATGTTTAGGTACAGCATTTAGAAATGAAAATGTTCTAAACTAACCTACACTTACAAACCAAACTTGCTGTAACATTTTCCAAACTCCGTTTGATAACAGATAAGGCATGTGGGGAATAGAATTTTGAAAATGTTACAGCAAGTTTGGTTGGTTTGGTTGGATTAGAACAGTTTCATTTCTTAATTTATATTATTTTTTCAATTTTTATAAGAACTTAGAAGCTACATAGTGAAAAACTACAGCGCGATATCCCAAGCCAACCTAACATTTTACCCACTTTTTCGATGATAGTGCGTTTAATATACAGTATATTATCGCATGGAAAAAATAGTTACATAATCGTATACAGCATTGAATTCCGCACAATTTATATACCTTAAATGTTTGTTTTAATATGAAAACCATTACGTCTTTTTTAAGATTTTTCGTGCTTATTTGACTTTTCTGGGGGAAACGATAGTGATTTTTTAAATTTAGGACGTTATTTAGCATCATAAAAGTGTAAAAAATACTATTTTAACGTAACGTCTGTGATCGATTTATTTACCCCTTTGGTAAATTACTTAAAAGCAATAAGAACATAGGTTCAATTCATATAAACAATGTAGCTAACCATATTTACTCATTTGGACCTATCCAATGACGGGCAAATTCAGGTCAAAAAGAAAACTTGAGTCAAGAATTAGATTCACTCAGATACAGAACCGGATAGTACAATGTAATCACACATTTCAACCAGGGTTTGTATACTTGCACGGCTACTTTATTAAAAGCAAGTTACACGCAAAAGATGCAACTATCGCTTAAGCTGATAAGAGGAACTTTATTGTTATTTTTAACAAATGCGGCAGTTAACTAAACACAATGTTATGAACACTAATAGTTATAGCATTCAAACCATCAAGGAACATATCGTCCCCATTAATTCATGAAACTTCTAAAGAATAATCTTGACTAAAAATTCACATAATAGATACATCCCAAAGAGCAATTATTAAGATTAACCAAAACAGCCAAAACGGAAATCTTTATCCTGGAAATAGCAACACAACCCGTTGGTTAAATACAACGGTCTGTAGAGCAATAGTAAATAATAATATGACTTCTTGATCAGCATTGAACGTGTTATTAAATTTACGGAAAGTAAATAAAAGAAACGTCTTATAACACTTAAAACATATATTTACGCTTATATGCTCACAAGACGGTAAATATACATTCACCTATTGGGTCTGATGATGATTGGAGTGTCCAATCGAAATCGATCACCACTTACCATCTTTTTTGTATATTTGCCGTCTTGTGAGTAGCAGTATAAGCGTAAATATGTGTTTCAAGTGTTATATGACGTTTCTTTTATTTACTTTCCATAATAATATGCTTATAAAAATGTCAATTACGAACAACAAAATGTAAAGAAATAAAAATTTAGGAAATAACAATACAACAATCAGCTGTTAAATTATTAAAACATGTTCCATATGATCAGATCATGCATACCATAGATGAAGCTTTCCGTTGTCATATTAGTTTATAAAATCGGTTTAGTAGAACTGCAGATTTAGCTGTACAACATTTAACAAAAACATCTCTAATTAAAAAATTTCCCAACACTATAAATTTGGACGTTGCTTAGCATTTTACTAATGACTTTAAAATGGTGAGGAAATTGACCGAAGTGGAAAACGATAGGTATTCTGAAAAAGAACATTTTCCACAAATTACTGTAATGGATTTCTTGAAAATACTCAATAAAGAGAAACTAAACTTGGCTACAAATAGAAACTTAAGAAAACTATGTTTAATGTATTTTTTTTATAAAACATGTGTTTTTACCGTTGCACCATATTATATCTTTATTGAAATCAAACGTTCATAATTGTTTGCAATTCTATACGAATCTAGCTTTCCAACGACTCAAACAAAATTGATCTAGTATAACTGTAGATTTAGTTGTATAAAGTTTAACAAAAATATCTCTAACTCGGTATTTTTTCGCCACAATAAACTTGGAGGTTGCTTAGCTTTTTGGCAAATTCTTTATAGTGGGGAACTCGACCAAATTGGAAGGTGATATTCTGAAAGAGAATAAAACTGTCTGCAAATTACTTATATGCATTTCTTGAAAATACTCAATTAAGACAGCCTAAACATGCCAATAAGAATAACATGGGAATTCCACATGTTTCTAGAATTTTCTTCTGTGTACAACAACGCTTTAATATACTGTACAACAGGCTGGTACGAGCAAACCTGCCCATTGCCCACAGGAAAAATAAGACTTGGAATTTATTTTTTTTTAATTTATGAACAATTCAATAGTGTAATAACGCAATTACATTTACCACCCCACAAACTGCTACCCATGTTGATTAGTACAGTACACATAAATTAATAGACAAAAATGGTTGAACACAACTTAATACAGTACAGCAACAACATCTTACCTTTCCGTCCGATGGACCTCGTAGAAGTTTTGCCTGAAAATATTATTGTTTTAGAAGATGAAATGAACTTTGATGCATTCACTAAAATGCATGTTTTGGACCCTCAACGAGGAAAAGGTTTTAGTTAAAGTCTTCGATTTTTTGAACAATCATTGCAATAAATAACTTCACAATAAATTTGTTTTGGTCCATATAAGATATTATTTTATAACTAGCTGTGTGCTCGTTCTACGCACGGGAATCTTATAGTATTCAGTTGAAACCTTCTTATATTAAGAACAGCAGTTGGTGTGCATATTTTCAGAAATGCTGACAAAACTCTTATATAGCCTATAAACCTTCGCAAATACAGTATCTGACAGTTTAAAGCCAAAAAAATGCTTCGCAATTAAATGTCACCCGCATCGTGTTGGTCCATATGTGAAATCCAATGATTAAACTAAAAAATGCTTTATAGGTCTATGAGGCATAGCCCTAAGGTAGGCCTATAATTGAAAGTTACTTTCCACAATTGTTAAAAGCAACAACATCTTACCTTATTCGCTTGCACCGAATCCTCCCGTAAAAGAAACGCCTGAAAATATTATTGTTTTAGAAGTCAAATTTACTTGTTGAGTGAAAACTTGTTGTAAGAAAGGGATTAACCCTTTATCCATGGTGCTAGAAAAGATGGCAGGAGGATGTGGAGGAGAATTTGAGAAACATTAATCTGAGGCGATGGAAGGGAAAAGAAAAAATAGAAATTATTCCAAGGTCCACTTAGGTAGAAAAAATTGTAAGGTAAAGCATTTATTGGATTAGTAGGGTAGGGGGGTATTACAATGTTCGCTCTTGTTTCAAAACTATAAAAACAACCTTAGGGTGTCCCGTAACTCTCTGGACACATGTATATTGCGTTATTGCTTAGGTCTATTAAGATAAACATATTTCTTAAATCCCAAAGCTGTATCTGAAACCATTTAGGAGTAATTATTTTTTTGTAAAAACACCTAAATATACACAGAGGGAAAACTAAGCACCACAGACCAATGTTCCTATGGTAAAATTTGTTTGTCTTGACCTAAGCAATAACGCTATGTGTCCAGAGAGTTATGGGACACCCTGTATATCTTCCACTTGTACTTCTAGCTGCTATCATTTTGTTAAATTTTTTTCGAACATGTTTTTTTCAGAAGTATACAAACAACTGCTGGCTGTAGGAGTTTTAGCCTTGATAGATGATAGTTTTAGCCATATCTATATCTATAAAAGAGGAACTATGTGGTTATGTATGTGTGTGTGTGTGTGTATATACGTTATGGACTCCGAAACCGCTCGACAGATTGTAATGAAACTTTCAGGCATTATTAAGCATCTTTAAAGGGTGGTTCGAGTGAAGTTTGGTGCAGATCCACCAAAAGGGCTCTGCCCAAGAGGGTTTTAAGTGGGCCAATGTCAGACTTTTTGATCTACAATGTTTACAATTAAATATACGAGGGTTGTTTTTTTTTTCAACCTCCGATAGGCTATGAACAAAAGACAAGTTCATATAAAACATTAAATTTATTACCAAAAGTTTGGTCCATTTATGGTTACTTTTTGACATAATCACCAAAGAGATTGAGACATTTACTATATCCGTGCACCAGCTTTTTAATACCCTCTTCAAGAAAAGTGGCCGCCAGTACATTCAAAAAACAAAAAAAAATTCAAAAAACAAAAAATGTCAAAAAAATAAAAAATTAAGAAAAAATAAAAAAAGTCTTTAAAATTTCTAGAAATTCAGTAAACAAAGCAATAATGGCGAATCTGTGGTTTATTTAACCATTCTGTCAAACTGTTGAACCAAGTCATCTGAAACGACAGTAATGAGCTGGTTCAACAAGTTGGCAGAATGGTTAAATAAACCACAGATTCACCGTTATTGATTTGTTTACTGAATTTATAGACATTTTAAAGTCATTTTTTATTTTTTCTTGATTTTTTAATTTTTTTGACATTTTTTTTGTTTTTTGAATTTGTTTTTTTTTTTTTATGTACTGGCGGCCACTTTTCTTGAAGAGGGTATTAAAAAGCTGGTGCACAGATATAGCAAATGTCTCAATCTCTTTGGTGATTATGTCAAAAAGTAACCATAAATGGACCAAACTTTTGGTAATAAATTTAATGTTTTATATGAACTTGTCTTTTGTTCATAGCCTATCGGAGGTTGAAAAAAAAACAACCCTCGTAATTTAAAAGCAGATGTTTACTTTCACCAACTGTTTTGTAGGTTTGAATGATCACGACATTCTGTATTAGCATTAGTCATGATTTGAAATAGTGCCACAGTGTTTCTACAGATTGCAACACAGAAAACTATGTATTAAAAAAAAAAAAAAAAAAAAAAAACAGAAAAGTCCAAATGTATTAAACCCCAATCGCAGCACACCTGTGCACTTAACAACGTTTAAATTCTCCAATGTTAAATATTAAAACATAAAAATCTGTATCAAAGTACTGTATTATAAACAATAAAAGGGATGACTTTTTAAATTTATGACAACAGCTAATTTGCAACCAAAAGGTGAGTGAGCGTAGGTGAGCAAATACAAGGTTAAAAGAGGCCGCCAACCTCTTAAAAAAATGCATGTTGATACAAATCCTTTACGACCGTCTATACTTAAATAAATAAATAAAAATAAAGCTTGAGAATGGCCAAACTTACCAGCATGGTCGTCACAACCATATGATGGAAGGGTCCCATGATGAAGTTAGTGGAACTGGACTGAATTGCACGCGAATTTATAGCTGGTAGAGTTGAGAGCTTTCGATTGGGCAAGTTCGTTAATTGCGGATAATTATGACTATTCACGTATTGGTGAACATTACGTAAACATGCTGGCAAGTGTGCTCACAAAACATATGGTTTCATTCGCAAACGAACCAGAGATAAAACTTAAAAATTTATCTCGATCTATTTTAACATTAGTAAACCGTAAATAAATCTATTAAAGCAAAAACCGTCGCGTCTTTGCCCCCAACAATTTAAATTACAAAGTTAAATATTTTATCTGATAGAAACTAATAAGAAACATTACTGACATGATCTGAAAAATAAAATGTATATTGATTAAATCCATTATCCAATAAGAGGAGTATCCCATTTAATGTGTACAATAATTTTTATACTTACCCTGCTGCAGACTTGAGTGACGCTGGCAACAACAGCTACAGCTGGGACAGAAGCTACACTTTGCGATTGACAATAGCGACGAGATATAAAATGATTTTAAATTTCAAAATACCCTCAAAACGCTTGTAACGCACGCTGCCAAAGCGTTGCTCCTGTCGCCGGAGAGATTTTTGTTTACAAATATTAATCTGTTTAAAAAACACCTTTGTTCGCATTATAAATCTGTCATATTGGTGTTATTTCTTGTGTCACGACAAACACGATGGTATTTTGAACGAAATTTGTTGCGTCTTATTAACGATGTTAGCATAGGTTTTAAAAATTAACAGCAGCATAAAAACTATTGTGAGTAAAAATTTTAAAATGCATGGAAATGTTAACAATAAACCTACCAACAAGCCATAAACATTTCAGAAAGATTGGCTCAGTGGTTTGTTTACAATTAATTTTTAAACTTCAGTGTTAGTGTAGAGTTTCTTAAAAACCGGTACTTTTTAGGATCTTTCAACTATATAAATTTTTCTGGTAAACGGAATTTTTTTAAATTGTTACCACGTAAAATCCATTTAAATAAGCTTACATTTAATTTTTGTTTTAACAAAATCGGATAATTCATCTCAGAGATATTTAGGCTCAAACTTGAGTGCACATATTTATTTCCCCGACAGTAGTTGCAGTGGGATGAAGTAATGTCCGAGAAGAAAAACCTTCTTTGCGCATGCGCAGCGATTCCAAAAAATCCATCCACGAACTCAAGCGGACTCCGGCAGACGGACGGATCCCTGTGTGCGTTGCCTCATTTGACAACATTTGGAGCGAGTTTTAGTCCGTCTGTCTCTTTGTGCACCGGCCTTAAGTTTTTTTTCTAATTTCTAGTGTTCTAAGTTCTAGTTTTCTAAAGGCGAACAATTGCCAAATAGAAACAATAGTTGCAATACGTCTGGTGGGTAAGTACAGTTTGCCATTTTCGACTTAACTGACTCCTACAAAAGAGGAAATTTGATGAGGGTAAAAAAACCTTCTTAAGCATAAGTGGGACTTATAGTAAAAGGTATTGCGGTTTTTTTTAAGTGATCAATGAGTTTGGACAAACATATTTGACGTCCCAATTAATCTCTAGTCAACCCACAAAACTGGTTTACGATGGCAAAAATCTAATGGGACACATTAGAATTCTTGGATAAGAAGTAATGTCAAACAACAATTTCAACGCAGGTTATTGATTACTTAAGCAACTAAAAACCACATTGAATGACACTCATGAGTTCCACTAGGGGTGGAGGCAAGCTCTGCATGAAACCTCATAGACTATCTAAAACGGGTGACTCCTTCAAAATAAACTCAATTCGCTGTTTTAATAAACTACCTGAAACCTGAAACCTGAAACTACCTAAATTTCAATTAAAATAAGTTATTATGCCTAATTGTATTTTATGTAATATTTTGATGTATCAGAAATTTGATTGCATTAAGATGATTAATTTGGTAATTTATATGATTTGTCCTATTTCTTTGTATACAGATCAATGGAATAAACTGTTCTTATTCTTATTGCTGTAAAATTACGGTTCAAAAATTATTGCAACATTTGAGATTACCCCATAAAATATCATAGTTACTCTCACCAGCCATGATAATAATTGTCAAATTAATAGGAGAAAGTATGTGTCAATTGCAGCTACCGATTTCTCAAATTTGGCCATAGTGTTTGAAAGGAAACTACATTGAAATCATCAATCATTATTCAATTTCAAAATTTATAAATTTACATCATGCTTGCGCAATTTATCCACCGAGTTTCTAGTAATGTCCTCCAACGCAAATGTTTCACAAGTTAGAATACATTCTCCTTACACGGCTATCAAAATTCGATTTACCAGAATCCATATGTAAATACGAAATTTACGCAGTGAGAACTAAAATTCTACCGATTAGTTTATAAATATTTTCCCATTTACATTACCGCGTACTCCACATAATCTATAATTTGTATGCGGCAAATTCATCAGCGGATGGGTAATTTATTCGATGGTCTGGACGGACTCCAGCGTGGACTGGTGACGGGTGTCGGGTCCGTGATCTAGTTGGGGTAATGAGAGGCCACCCAGGGTGTCCAGTGACATCTGTAGGTAGAGTCAGGCAGAGGCTACACACCTACGTACACGGCAGCTGTGGCAGTAGTGCACCTCGATTGCTCATTAGTGGGCCTAGAGCACCACCTTGTGCTATTCCGCGTTTGCATAATGTTTGTTGGGTACTTGAGTCGTTCTTTGCTTTGAAGTTTAGAGTTTTCATGCTAGTGGAGGATTTATTTGTAAGGCATTTTGAGATGAATTGGAATAGATTATACGATTTAAATATCACGTTTCGTATTTTAAAGGGTTGGTAAGTGAAGTATGGATGGATCAGATAACAGATTTGTTTAAGATCAGCCATGACCGTATTCAAGATCAATGGACGGAGTCAGCTAGGTCCAGATTCAAAACATCAAAAAGCTCCCTTTAGTATTGTGTGGGCGGGCTTCTAATTAATAGGCGAGCACTATACCATTTCAGCCACACAAAAGTCATATAAATGATAAGTGAACAATGTCAATCAGTTAAGAATGTCATAACATAACAATGTTCTCTCATATATTTTATGAGGGATATGACTACAGTAAATTGGACAAAAGGAACATGATGAATGTCAGTGAATGACAGTGTCATGCCACAGAGTTTTAATGAATCAAAGATTGAACCATCGCCCAGAATCTAAACCCCTAAAGCCGAATCCTCTCTATATCATGCCACTTATCCTTAGGCCTTGTCGCTTGTATTGCAACTATGACTATGAAGAGTTGACATCCCATTACGATGTCAATGCCAATCTTAGAATGTAAATCAATGTATTTGAAATGCGCAATTAAAAGAGTCGGCTGATATTAATTAGTGATTTCGGAATATGGATAGACCTTATTGGAAACTATAGAATGTCTTTGTTTCGTTAGACATCATAGTACGAAAAAAAGAGAAAATTTAATTTTAATAGTATAGTGCCATCTGTGAACTACGTTCTACTTGAATGATAATTCGCTACAGCTGGTACATGACTCATGAGTCATACATGACTTTAGCAACACGGGAGTGCTCATGAACATGTGTATTTCAAATGGAGTTCATGGGCATTCATTTATTTTTAAGGGTATACATGGGATGTCTAATTCAGTATCTAAAAATCAATGGATATAACAATGAAAATAGACCTACAGGATCAGAAAAATGAAAAACTAAAACCTTCTACAATTTTGAAGGACCAATAAGGTTACATGGGTTATCTTGAGCATTCGTAAATACCGGATGGGACAAGATACACAAGCACCTGACCCAGATTACGGGACGCGTGCTGAGCCCATTCTCCGCCCATTTTCCACCAATTTGAGCAGTCACCTGAGGGTCGGGTGTTGGCACCCCTCAGGGCAGATGTTTGGCAAACAAACTATTAGTGTTACAATCCGACAAGATCTGCCCTAATGGATCTGACCCACCTGGAGCGGTTACTTTGTAGATTTGTGGTGAAAGGGTGACAGGATGGGCTTAGCTCTGGGCATCCTCGATGGGATGAGGGCTATATTTGGATGGTGTGGTACTTTTGGGGTTCAACTGTGGACATTGTAATGGGATTCAATCATGAGATTTAACGAGAGTTTTTCATTAAACTTGACCGCTGCTGTCTGAGTCAGATGTACTCACGACTACATTCACAGCTTCGACATATATTATACAATCTCAATATTGTGAAAAGTATCTTGAAAAATAATTACCAGCTGCCGTTAGTCATTATTAATGATTTATCAACTTTAAATAATTATTATAGTATATCGATTTTTTATGACTCCTAACAACGGTTCGATGGTAATCGGGTGATAAATACAAGGTTAGGAACAATGAAACAATGTGAAAATGTGACAAAATTTGCAATACAGGAAAAAAAGACAAATTCAACCATGCTGTATTTGATATGAGGCGTTCTGAAAAAAGGGCTGTATAAAAGTTTTTTTATTATTTTATCATTTACTCTGATTATTTTTAAATTAATCACTAAGGTTTTAAATAAATTTTATCCTGAAAGAAACTCACAGGCTCCAACCAACTGTAACGCGGCTCCATGCCAACAGGAAAACAAAAGCAAACCAACAACCTCCATCTAACGAACTCCTCTTCGGCCTCTTCAAAGACAACCCCAAAACGCTTCACCAAAACTTATAATGTTCGTGACAATATGGCAGCCGTCGTAATCAGCGTTGTCGCCAGACGTCAGCACCGCGTGCTCTTTTTTAAACACTGTGCTCCGCGGGGCGGTCACGGCGCCGACGCAGTTTCTAGCTTCAGTTTAGTTCCCCATTCGACCGCAAGGAGCGCCGCACGTGTCGTCTTGCTAATTGTAGCCGTCTCCAGCCCGCGTCGTGACTCCTCCACTCATATCAATTACAATTACAATTGCAATTACCCGTAATTCACTGCCTCTGTCAAGGTCTGCATCAAATTACCAGGTAAATAGTCTACTGTAGCTCGACTACTGTGGCTACAAACTATTACTCGCTCGTGGGTAATGTCGTTTTCAAATTTCACTGGTAATTGAGG